ACACTATGCAAGTCTTCTACTGGTGAGCTACATCCCCAGCCTACATTCACATTTTCAAATGATGAATCAGGATTATTAACATAAAAAAGATCATTCTTTTGGTTAACATTTCCAAAGTGTACTTATTGCTTAAAACATAACTCCATGAGATCTCAATAGTATTTAAGGATAAAACAAATATTTTTACATTTTAGCACTATGTTTTTTCTAATTATCTTCAAAGAGTATCCTATGAAAGAGTATTCCTAGAATACACTTTGGAAAGCATTACTGCAGATGTTACAAGACGAAAACAAAAAAACAAGAAACGGTGATATGCAAAGAAGGGACAAAAAAGGCTTCCAATTCCTGAAATGTTTTAGTCTTTAAGTTCCTTGAAAATGATTTTCCTGATAAATGTGCAGATGTCTGCTTTCCTTTTCATGATTTTTCTGCTTCTCATAAGGGTAGGGTTGGGGCTGGGGCTTTAGCTCAGCGGCACAGCACATGCCTGGCAAGCGTAAGGTCGTGAGTTTGATTCCCAGAACCAGAAAAAACCCAAAAGAAAAAAAAAAACCACAATCAAAAGGGTAGGGTACGAGATGTATTACCGTGATCCACAAGAACGGTATAATGAGCACCTTTTTTAAATGAGAATGCAAAGCCAGACCAGCCTTCTCCCCATCTGGGTCCACTCTTGAGTCTTCCTCTATGGGGTGACCTCTCACAAATCAACAATGCTCAAAACGCACCTCAAAGCTCGCCTAAAGGACCACCTTTCTAACGCACACTGCCCGGGCAGCGGGCGAAGAACGCCATTTACCACTTTAAACTTTCAACATTCCCAGCTGGCTACTGTACGGACGACACTGCTATCCGCTGCTGTCCACCAAGGTTCCTAAATCCAACCTCTGAAAAGGTAAACTCGCTAGCTCTCCTCCCAACACCGTCCCTCAGCTGCACGTCACTCCTAAGTGAACAGCGTCACCGACTACAGTCACTTTGCAGGGAGCACAGGACGGTGTCTAAGCCACATCTCCCACAGACTTCCAAGCCCCAGCATGTCCAGCTCCCAGTCCCTCACCGAACCTGCTCTTCTCCCTTCTCAACCAAACAGCCTTCCTACATCTCTGGGATGTTTACGTCCTCTGCTACCTAGATTCCTTACTTTCCGTACATCACCCTCACCCTATTCTCCTCTGTAAAATACAAACCGAAGCACACCATTCCCAGTTAAAGAACACTTTCTTGTACACACTCCCTGTGAATCTTACAGCTCCCCTGGAAAAACTAGCTCCCCTTGTTGCACAGGTGCTCCAGCCCACATGGCCAGCATTATTCATAGGAAGGCAGTCATGAAAAACTTCAAGCAATCCAAATTCTGGATAAGTACCGCGCTAACCAACCGCGCCACTAGAGCTCCAACAATCCAAATTCTATACCATATTCAGAAAGCAGCATTAGTGAAAAAAGAAAAATTTACTAAGCTGCCACACAATCATACAGGCACACACACACAGTGCAAACATGCACATACACGCACACACATGCATTTAGGAAAACTACAACCAAAAAGGCAGCACGCTGACACACACAGAGGTAACAGAAGACACACACACACAGGTTGGGGAAAAGATGCACAGAAATAAATACAAATCACTGGCGGCATTTGTGCAGTTCCCCGTGACACCCAACAAGTCTGCGTCTGCTCAAGTCGACTCGGGAGCCAGAAGACTGCTAACTCTGCGGAGCCAGGATGTCTTGAAGACAAGACGTTTTGCCAGCTCACACGGACGGATCTCAGGGTGCACACAAGGAAGCTCCGGAGGGGACAGTCAGGTCAAAGTTAATTAGCCAGCCAAACTGTCACCAGGCCCTGCTTGCCTGCCTCGCTACCTAAGACAAACATGTACACTCAGCAGAGCTCTGTGCCTTTGTTGTTCCTCAATAAATCTGGGGGTATGAGTCAGTCTGAGGCTCCTCTCCATTCTGGTGAAGGCCCCTGGCCCCCAGACAAAGATATTCTGTCTCTTGCATCTTTGTTCATCTCTCTAACAGGACTTCCAAACCCGAGAAGTATTCTAGTCCTCCACTGGTGATGTCATCGGAGGTCTACATTCTACTTCTGTTTAGATCCAATACCATCTAAAACCAATAAATTACAAGGAGTTTTCAACAGCTTTCATTCCCTGCCTACCCTAACATATTGAAATTCTCACCAATAATTCAAATCTAGAAAGTTCTTGGCAGTATAAGAATTAAGACATGGAAACACAAAGCTGGGTGTGGTGGTGCACACCTGTAATGCCAGCAACTGGGAGGCTGAGGCAGGAGGATTGCTGTGAGTTCAAGCCAGCCTGGACTACATAAAGAGACCCTGTCTCAAAAAAAAAAAGACATGGAAACACCAACACTCATGCTTATACACGAGACCCTTTTTGATAACACACACCCAGCTTCTTTGTATCAGAACTATGCCCAATGTTATTTTCTGCCTGAGCTTTATAGTAGACTCTTAAAGTTCATTTTTTAAGGGTATGAGTCTGTCCTGTTTTAAAGAGCTCTGCACTTAGCTTTTATTTATCCCCACTAACACCTTGACAGAGTCTATGTATAAATAGTCCACATGGGTTCAACTCTTAGTCTGATCTCCGGGAAGCTCAGCTGCACTGCTCTGCAGAAGACTAGTAATAGCTAACTCATGCAGTACTTCTGAATATCAAATGATATGTGGCAAGTTCCTAGAACACTGTCTGGAATTCAATAAATGTGAGCTAATAAATGTTAATCATATTCCAATACATTTTACCAAAGTAGAGAGAGAGAAAGGGGGGAAGCCTCAGCCATTTCCTAAAATTGTATCTCCACCTCCGTGTTTCCTGAGTTTCACTCCTGGATCTGCGGCTACCTGTTGCATCTGAATATCCAGCAGAAATCTTCGGACTGGTAACAACAGAAATAGGAAAGCAAGCTTTACAAGTGCATGAACCGGGCCTCCGTTATATACACACAGCACTACAGCAGGCAGGATCCAGCTCGCCCACTCTCCTGCGGGACATTTTCCTAGATGCTTCTTTTACGCCTGGCCATCAGCTGAACCAGGTATAAAAAGCAAACTCATCACCACACGTCTCCCAAATCACCTGCCTTCTGCACCTGTTCATCCGCTCGCTGGAACCTTTCTTTTCCTGGTCCTGCTCCAGCCTTGTAAACCTCCTTGGCTTCCTGCCTAACGCACAGATCCGTCTGGTCTCCAACCACCACTATCTGTTTTCCGCAGTCTCCTGAGCATCCTCGCGTCCTCTCCACAGCCAGTCTGAGATCTCACGGCCTCACACCAGGTCGGTGTCCGACCTGGACGCCTTCCACCCGCGCAAACCCGAACACCACCACACCGCAGCCTTCGCCGCTGCGTATACGCAGGCTGGGCAGAGGCACCTGCAGGAACGCTCCCAAGGGCAAGACAGAGCCACCGCTGAGCGAGGAGCAGCCAGCGGGGAGCGCAGAGCCAGGACAGCAGACAGGGGAGGGGGGTTCCGCGACACGGACCGGTGCAGCAAAAGACAGGGATGCCGGAATCCGCTCCTTCTCACCCGTTTTCTAAAGGCCCCAGTCAAGTCAAAGTCCCACAGAACTGAGAAGGAGCAGTGCCACATCTGCGGAGGCGCCTAAGACCAGATCAATCAAGAACCTGTTTTAATGGGCAAGGAACCTGAGAAACTACCCAGGTACACGGAAACTCACGTACACGGAAGGGTAAAACACCGCCAGGACCAAGCACTGTACCACGACTTGCCCTGGACAGTAAGGAATCCAACCCAGAAATGTCGTTCTGTGTTGCTCAAGCACCTCAGTATCCATCTACCCTTTCACCCTTTCCGATCCTGAGAATGACGCTCCGCATCACGTAAAAATGCAAAGGCTATTTATTACAGCCAGAGAACCATTTTCAAAACACGTCTTGAAGGAAACTCCCCCTTTTACGAAAACTGTGGCACCGTCACCCATCTTAGAGGACCTATCTGACAACAGGAAACGTCCTTATTTTCCAAGGTCTCGATCGAGGCCAGGCATTTGTCTGCAGGGCCTGAGTGTCAGTGCAAGTTGCTCCTCCGAATGGTAAGTCGCTGTAAATTCTGTCAGAGGGTGCTTTTCAGCACCGGACCCACGCCCTGGGAGCCCTTGCTGGCGGTAACGGGGACGATCTGCTCCGTTCACTCTGCAAACCGCGGGGAGCGAGTGACTCAGTCACCCGCGGTGACGTCTCGGCGCTCGGAGCCTCCCCGGCGCGCGGGGGAGCACGCGGGCGGTTGCAGGAAGCC